AAGATGATTTGGGTCTCGCTCGAGCCAAAAGAGCGTGCTGGGAGCGGCCTCGACTCTCGGGGATACTTTGCTGCCAAGTAGCGTCGGCCACTTTCCGGGGCCCACCGCACCCAGCTCTGCGCCGAGGGCCCTGGGCAGGTACCTGCGCCGGGAGTACTTCCATGACGCAGCCGAAGTGGGCCTAGCCGTTTGTACCTGCAACCCAGGCCTAGGGTAGCTACTAGCTCAGCGGCTGCATTACTCATCAGCTCAATAGCAGCCTAAACTACCCTGCAGCGAGCCCAGCGACGGCAAATGACGACAATTCCAAATAACCTTTCCAGAACCTGGAGAATCAATTGATCTCTGATCTTAATTGCCAAGTACAGCATTTTTGGGAAGGGCCAGGGCTGCAGTCCCAGCGACATTTCGCCAGGAAAAGCGGTATGGCGATGACCTGCCCTGCTAGACTGCCGCCACACAAAGTCTACCCTTGCAAGCCTCAAGATAGCGAGCTGCACAACGCACCGCCCTGCAAACCAATGATATCACGACTTTCCAGTCCCAATATTCACATGGGATCTTCCGATCGAGCATTTCCCAATTGTTGAGGCAATTCTTATCTGCAGTCCCCACTATTGCTCCGAGTTCCTCTTGCGCTACTGTTATTCCAATTATTTGACAGCTGGCAGCAAAAAGCTTAGATACGAGCATATGAAGTCATTTTTGCCGTCCAGCCTGAGGATCCGGGATGTTGTTGATTTGTGCCCAACACCCAGGAGACCAGGTCTCTACGTCGTGAGGTTCTCCCATGACGTTTACGGGCTAGGAGCACGCTTCTCCGTGATGTCATACCGTGAATCCGTGATCGTTTCAATTTTCCAGTCTCGAAACATCACATTTCCTCCCGATGCCAGGATCTGCGGCGACTTGCACCTTCGACGGCAAAACAGCGATGTTTGGGACTACCTGACAGCGGCAACCTGGTATGAGGGGCATAACAAGGCTCGAGAAGATGGCAGTCTCCGATAAGCCATTTCAGTTTTGGCGGCGATGGGTATTTTCGAGAACCTTGGGAAAGTACCGAGTCGGATAGCTGCTCCAGAGCCCTCCCTGATATAAACATTCGGCCTTGCCCGTGTGGCATTGTCTAGAGCGTACAGATGCCCGACTTGTCGTTTAGTTGTGGTGCTATCTGATTCCTGAAACCCAACTATCCACGAAATTGGAGGGCAGACTTATTTGCTGAAGATTGAAATCGAGTCTTTTTCTGGATAGGTATTGTCGAAAACTCCCATTCAGCAGTGATTTCGGCAAAAAAAAAAAAAAAAAGAAGAAAACGATTTAAAAAGGCTACGCATTTGAAGCTCACAGCGCAAAGATTCGAACCTTTCTCAGATGCTTTTCTCCACGATTTCAAATGTGTAGCCTTCTTCGATTATTATGGCGGCGTCTGAAGCTTGATTTGGCTACGGCTGTAAGGTTCAGTTTCACGGGCTGGCCGCTGACAATAGCAGGATCCTAGGAGAGCCGACATTGAATCATGAGCAGAATCACTTCAGAGTCTGGTACTAGCGAAGCTCTCTTCTCAGTGGTATCGTAGGGAAACGCACCTTGCTATTGCCTAACCGTACGATTTTCGACGTATTGTAGGCGTTGAGCGCAGAGGAAAGCCGGCGATTCGGGAATACTAACATGAGACTGATCTTCGCGATGACAACCTGTCAATTGTTTACTGCTGTGCCTTTGAAAACGACGCGGCTATTTGCATTGCGAGCGTGGGAGTTACTTACTGGGCTGTACCAATGCCATGTCCAACTCGACTACAGCCCACTAAGCAACTCTCACGCTCGCAATACAAAGAGGTCCCGATGAGCGCATATCGGCTGGTGAAGATTTCCCACTTATTGGCAAACGACTTAAGCATAAGGGGCTACTTTCGTCTTTGCCTGCCATAACGTGCCGTCGGACTCGATCACCCGCTTTCTACCTAGGGACAATCGTGGATAAAAAATCCTTTTCAACTTCGCTGCCACGGCATTTAGCTGCTTGCGGTGAGCTAAAAGGCCAAGAAGCAATACTTAGCGGGTTTTCCAAACCTACTTCGGTTCCTTCATTGGAATATAGAAGCCAGTGGCCATGATAGGTTGACAGAGCGAATCCTAGCACAGGTTAGGCCCAGAAACTGCATCTCTCAATTGAGAAATAGGACGAGAAACGAGCCTCGATGGATATCTAAAGATTGAATATGACCGCAGAGCGCGATTCCAGTCGATCATTACTGGCAGAAAAGAAAGAAACCCGACGCGAGACTCTCGCGTGGGGTTTTCGAGTCTTTGGGTGACTTTTCTTATTGAATGGTGACTTTTCTTATTGAATGGTGACTTTTCTTATTGAATGGTGACTTTTCTTATTGAATGGTGACTTTTCTTATTGAATGGTGACTTTTCTTATTGAATGGTGACTTTTCTTATTGAATGGTGACTTTTCTTATTGAATGGTGACTTTTCTTATTGAATGGTGACTTTTCTTATTGAATGGTGACTTTTCTTATTGAATAGAGAAAACCGGAGAGCGGCCTCTGATCTATACGGCGAGTAACAAGTATACGGTATGTTCAACAAAATTTATGACTATACGAATAGAAGCTCAAGAAGTGGACCCGTGCTGTCTTTGTCTTTTGACCGAGTATACGAATATCTGAAGCTATAGACGGCGTCTATTCGATTTGGATTTAACCAACAAGGAATCAATAAAGCGTCAAGACAATAGAAGCAAGGCTTTCATGGCACTATTCCTTTTTTTTTTTTTTGGGCGTTTGGAGGCTTGTCGTGCTCTGCTTCATTCTTCTGGAAAGTTTCGGTCAAGCTGTCGCCATCATTCTTTAACCCATTGAAGATGACATGCCTTTCTTAGCTTGATGCAGAAACCCGCGCTCGATTCTCATTCTGAAGCGTCCTGATATTAACCGTCATTCGGCCGCCACGCAGTTGGGCGTCCCCCCGTTTCTTCACTCAGTGATCTTGTTTTACACATTGGCGAACCAAAGCAAGAATCCGCTCGGGCGATATTCGATTTGATGGATGCGTCTGTAAGTTTTTCATATCCCTTAATCTGATTATTTCGGAGAACTTGGTCTGTCTCGGCCAACTTGGCCGACAGGATTCTACCACAGCTTGGTAAGCAGGTTTGATGCTGAGGCTAGATTGCTGCCCATAGACTGAGCCTTGTGTTCTTAGAAATGACGAAAGAAAAGAAAAAGAAAAAGAAATAAGATTATCCGATGGCTTGCTGGAGGTGTGACATAATGAATATCTGTTTTCACTGTCCCCGACTATCAGTTCCGAAGTGTTCAGGGTTTATGCGCACGGTTCAGCAGGATGAGCGTATAGCGTTATTGCTTACTCTCGTCTATTGAAAGCCCACACGTCATAGTTGTCTAGGATTTCCGTTGTTTGTAAGATGACGGTAGATGTCTCAAGTCACCTCTTGTTGATTTTCAAGAGAATGGAAGGATGAAGGGCGTATCCGACAGGCGAGTCGGATGCGGCTCTCCGCACTTGGAGATGTTCACACTGCTTCCCACCCCAGTATACTCGAATAATCTGACATATAGGAATTGCTCTTGGTCATAAACTCCGTTGAGTCCACAAAGTCCGCCTAGCGCATAAAGTCCGCCGAGACTCGGCCAAGTTTGCCGGGGAGGTAAACCTATATAATAGATACTTCAACGCTCTTGTCAGAGGAAGTCAGTTTCATTGTGAGTGAAAACTAAAGAATTCCTTCTCGACTTCCTCGCGATGGTACCCTCATCCATCCTCTTCGCTCTCGCAGCATGCGGTCTCGCGACGGCGGCCGCTCAACAGCCAACCGTACAAATTCCCGATGGAACTGTGATAGGATTTACGAACAATTCAATTGACAACTTCCTCGGAATCCCCTACGCGGACACCCCAAAACGTCTCCGACCCCCGCAGCGTCTTTCATCGCCATTTGGAGCACTCAACGCTACAGCAATACCCGCCAGCTGTCCCCAGCACCCTCTCATAGTCAACCCAGAGGTCTTCACCCAGCTTCCCCCAGAAGTTTACGGTCCTCTTTTGTCATCTGCAACACCTCCATCTGTTGTCAGTGAGAATTGCCTCAACCTGATCATCCAGCGACCTTCCTCAACAACGCCCGACTCCAAGCTTCCCGTGCTGTTTTGGATCTACGGCGGCGGGTTCGCGACCGGGTCTTCGGTTGGATACGACTACTCCACCCTGATTCAAGAGTCAGTGGCTCTAGGACAGCCCATCCTCGTGGTCAGGGTCAACTATCGTGTTGGGGCGTTTGGCTTCCTGCCCGGAAAGGAGCTCCAGAACGATGGAAGCACCAATCTCGGCCTTCGAGACCAGAGACTGGCCCTCGAGTGGGTGTCAGAGAACATTGCTGCCTTTGGAGGCGATCCAGACAAGGTCACCATTTGGGGAGAATCCGCCGGTAGCCTATCGGTCATGTATCACGCCCTGATCAACAACGGGAACAGCACCTACCACGGCAAGCCCCTCTTCCGCGGCGGAATCATGGACTCGGGAGCCGTGTTCCCCACGGAAGCCGTCGACAGCCCTACAGCTCAGGACTTCTTTGACACCTTCTCTGCGGCCGCAGGCTGTGGATCTGAGGATGCGCTGACCTGTCTACGCGAGCTGCCCTACGAGGAATTCCTCAACGCAACGGCGGTCATCCCGGGGCTCTTTGGCCCCGAGGCGTTCCGAATCAGTTTCCCGCCTCGCCCAGATCCCGCGGACGACTTCTTCCCGCTCTCGCCAGAGAAGGCAGTACAGCAGCATAAAATTGCACCCGTCCCGTTCCTCTCGGGCAACCAAGACGATGAAGGGACCATGTTCGCCCTGCCTCTGCTAAACGACACAACATCCCCTCTTCTGGTAAAGCAACTCAAAGGCCTCTTCCACACAGCCGCGGACGATGTCCTTGAGCGGATGATTAGCTTTTATCCCACCGACCCTGCAGCCGGCTCCCTATTCAACACCGGTTCCGCTAACGAGCTCTACCCCAGCTTCAAGCGCAACTCGGCGGTCCTGGGAGATCTCGTCTTCCAGTTCCAGAAGAGAGCGTCCTACATTGCTTTGAATGGGCTGGTGCCAATTTGGGACTACCTGAGCAAATACAACAAAGTTGATTTCCTGGGCACCATGCATGGCTCGGACCTGACGCTCCTGCAGACACAGAAACCTGCTCTGCCGTACAAGGCAATTGTGCAGTACTACGTCAACTTTATCAACTCACTGGATCCCAACGTTGACATCCATGGTAAATGTGGGAAGAAGCTGCCGCACTGGCCAAAGTGGGATAAGGATGAGCAGTTGTCGATTCATTTCTTGGATAACGCGACCGTCGTAGCGCCGGACGATGACCGAAAGGACGCATTCGAGTACTTCTCCGGAGTTCAGTCAGAGTTGCTCTTCTAGATATAGACACTCTGAGACAGCCCGCCCACGGCCCAGGCACGTTTATTCCCTGTATATAAAGTTCCGGTCATATTAAATTCATCATAGATAGACGAAGCCGTATAGAATTTGTGGACAAAAATGGTCTAATTATGATATCTATTTCTATAGCTATGTGTATATGCTCGTCTGATCAGGGTTGACCACGTCTAACAGCGAATAAGCCCTAATATGCAGGGAATGACATGTCTCTCTATATACACCAGCCGGCTATGCTACCCCAAACGCCAAACTCGAAAACCCCAATGTACCAACAAAACAAGACGCCTATAAAAGTCAAGACGAGAAACAAGTCTATGTAGCGTATGGTCCGTAGTGCCACCTCTTCGCATTCTCGGTAGCAAAGTATCGGGCAACGAACGCGCCCTCTTCAGCCCACTTGGCGACCTCGATGCCGTGCTTCTTTCCTACACTCTTCAAAAAAGCTGCAAATTTGGATTCCTGGACCGGGTTCTCCTCGCGCGGATCCTCGTTGACGTTGCTGAGCCTCCACTTAACACTGTTGAGAACAGGGATGATGAGGCGCCGCTCGGGATGACGTGCATCTCGTGCCACGAGCTGCGCTCGCCCAGGGTTGACCGTGGTGAACTGCCAGTTCCCCTGCCCAGTCTTCTTATTGACCACCTTCTGGGGTCGGATGAGGGACTGTCCTTCGTAGTTGCGCACAAGACCCCTGATGGCTTCGCGGCTTGCTTCGTTTAGAGAGCCCGTCTCGAGCAAGAAATCGAGGACTGTGGGGAGGACCTGGATCCCTGAAACAGCGCTGTCCACGTTGAAAGCGGGCAGTTGTGGGTGGGATAGGACAAGTGGAACATGATCGTTCCCAATATTCGGATTGTAATAGGAGGACGCGATGTCGTTCTCAGCCAGCGAGGTACCATGATCCCCCACGAAAATGACTAGAGTTTGGTTAGACACACCCTGCTTGTCAAGGATATTGAAGAACTTCTGTATCCATTGATCGCTATATCCCTGCGTGTTGATATAATGTGACAGCTCATCCAGCCCGTTCGATAGAGGGAGGTACTTGTCCTTTGCGTTTAATGGCAAAACAAACGGGTGGTGCGTGGTGCTGGTGATGTGAGTGAGGAACACTCGCTCGTCCTTTTCCTTTGCGGATGCAAAAGCATCATGGATATAATCGATAAGTGGCTCCTCCTCGAAGCCAAAATAGTTGGTGTAAGGGATAGTAACAGGGCCATGCTTGGCCTTACTCGAACGGAGGTACTCGACATCAATAGTATTCTCTTCAAGGAAACCGATTTTCCTCATTAGCTTATCAAACTGATTAAACTGGAGCGTAGCCGTCTGGTAGAAATATGACTGCCATTTGGACTTGGCGTAAGGGCCAGACTGTTTGTTGGTCGTGGTCATGTTATTCAGGGCCTGGAAGATGTGTGGAAGACAAGGCTGATACATGTGGTGCTTCCAATCAAGGTTAAAGTCGCCAATTAAGGGTCCCATGCCACAGATCGTGGCAGGCAAGCTCTTGAGGGTGTAAGTCCCAGCAGTGTAGTAGTTAGTGAAATGGGCGCCTCCTCGTTTCCTGTGGGGTTCCTTGTGATCGAAGCCATCATCAAAGTCCCCGGTGATGAAGTTGGCTGTTGGGGTGAGTCTCGCAAGTCTTTCCTGGACGTGTTGCGGAAGCTTATTTTCAGGCCAGGTTTCCGCAAGACGGTTCCAAACCAGACCGTCTTTCTTGATTGGGAAGACATCATTTCTCACACTCTCCATGAAAAAGAGGACGACGTGTCGAATGTCGAGGTCCTTGAGCTTGTTCTTCAATTCAGGGAGCAAGGGCTCGTCCAAGTTGTCAATCTTCATCGGATCTGCGGAAGCGTTATAATGTAGTATGTCCCTGTACCAATCCTCAAAACCCTCCGTCTCCTCCTTGGGAAGCCATGGCATAGGAATCGGCTCAGTAAGGGCAGTCACACGGTCCCAGTCGTGCTGGATGCCCACCCCATAGGTTGGCCGAAGGTTTTCGAGCGAGGGTGATAATGATTTATAGCCAACAAAGGGAAGTAAACCTGTCGTCCAAGCGATGAAGGTTAAGGAGCCGTCGTCGGGCCGGGCGAGTCTGAAGCCAATAAACACAAGAAGAGAGGCCGTAGCGAGGAAATGCATGATGAAATTGAAAGCTGAGTAAAGCAAATCGCTTGAGATAGAAATCTTGACGCTGGCGAGCCCGCGTGACAGGAGTCGGAATACGATGGGTGGTTGGGTCAAGATTTCGCTGCTGCTGCCGCTGTTGATGAGGCCTTCCAAGCCGGAGTTGGAGTCTGTGTAGTCTTCGCTCGGTCTATGATTATGTTCGATATCTTGGCCAGGAAGCTTTGTGTACGGCGTTGGGCGGCAGCAAGGGACACAGCGACTGAGCACGCGCGATACGAAAGAGCAGCAGGCGCTGACCACATTCGCATAGAAGCCAAACATGCCATACAAGAAATCCTGGAGCATCCAACTCAGGGCGATCATAACCAACGTAATTCCACAAAATATAAAGATGTCGGTGAGAATGGAAGCTCGTGACGGGGAAACGCTAGCGAGGGCAGCATGGTGCCAGTGAATTTCGGACCCGGTAACGACAAAGAAGGTCGTCGCAGCGAAGCCAAGGACTAGATTATAGACAAGAAGGGCATTGCCGAGGTAGCTTAGGGCGGTTCGAAGTGCGGAGGAAGAGACGGCGGTAATACAGTCGTCGAGCAAAAGTCGAATAAGGATGAGGACAGCGAAGTCTTGGGCGAGGAAGGAGTACATCCACAGCCCAATCTGGTTTGTCGACAAGGCATCGTGGCGGGCGATGATGTGGACGGCTTTGGCACCTAGAACTGCTAGAACAGTGAACGCGAAGGCAAAGCGACGGTTTGCAAGACGTGGCCCCAGAGCGTGGACCAGCCACCGAGCATAGAATCTGGGGTTCAGCAGCATCGTGAAGGACGACGCTGGGTGGAAGAGGAGGCTTCGGCTCGGCCCATGCCTACCCGCGAAGAAAAGAAATGCAAGATCGAGAGTGGATCAATGTAGCAGATTGGCAGGGATAAAAGAAGGACAAGACGTGAGAAAGAACGGAGAAGAACGGAGAAACTGGGGTGCCACAAGGAAGGAGTGGCTGCAGAGCAGGAGGGTGGTGCAAGGAAGAAACGTGACGAGCTGGAGGAGGAAACAAGGTGAGACGGGGAATCAAGTAGAGAGTGTTCACCCACAAGAAGAATCAAATTAGAGAATTCAGCCCTCTTCCAGTCCGTGTCCGGGGCAGAGATGGGCAGCCCACCTGGACCCAGCACAAGGTACAGCGCATTATGCATGGTAAGGCTGATCTGATGTCTCGGGACTTCCAAAAATGGATACAATACAGCGGCTGATCGGATCTGCCTGGCCCATCCTCAAAGCACAAAGTACCTCTTACTGTGCATATTATGTTCTGGATTCTCCTTGGAAGCGTCCCCTTTCTCATCCCGCCCTCCATTTGCTGACACGCCCAGCAAAAGGACACTTCTTCGCCGAGGTCTCCTGTATCCAGCTGATCCAGTTAGAATCTAAGGTTACCTCTGTCTCACATTACACTGCACAAAGCACTTTCGTATAGCCCCTGCCTATTGTCGGATTGTCGGTGCACCAACACTTCCGTGTTCCACATCTCAGCCCAGTGGAGTGCAAAATGGACACGCTTTTCCTCGTGAGGGAAGATGCCGCGTGCCGAGGACCGAGCTTGGGGCACCAGCTCCAGTGAAAAAGCAAGAAATATTCATTGCATAGTGTGCCTTGATCCCCTAAAAAGCTCTGCTCAGTAGCTCCAAGAAAGCTGCCGACTAGCCGGTGGCATAGCTCAAACGCCGTTGTCTCGGTTCTCGCAAAAGAAAATCAGCCGACAGGGATGATCAATTTGTGCCCCCCGCCACCACATGAGACCTCGTAACCGAAGGACCTCCTGAAATCTCACCTCGTTCTTCTTCTCCTCATTCGTCCATGGAGCGAATATGCTAGTGTGTCCAGAGCTTGTGCATTTCTAAAAATACGATTGGCTGGGCATGAGGTGCTAGAACAGAGTGACACTGAGTCATTACACTACACGAAGCTACGGCGATTGAACAGCCTCGAAATTATCAATCATGAAGCCGCCAAACTGTGAAGCGTTGCAATCCCATGTCCAAGTTCAAAGACAATCGCACAAGCCAGGGAAGCCACCGAGGATCTTCACGTCTGACCCATCTCATCAATTGTTGATTTGTTACGCTTGGACCCTCTCAGGCGAGTCAGCCGCACCAAAAGGACATTTGCTGTTACATAATTTAAACGAGCTTTCCGAGGTCTGTTCACAGCTGAGTGGATTGATGGCTTGTGAAGTTGCGGCGCACCAACGCCACTGCACTGAATTTCCGCACAACAAACATACACAATGAGAATAAAAAAAGCATAAATCTAATGGTTGAAGAGACCAAATCCCACACCTGCTATGCAGGTTGTTCCAGCGGCTGAGCATGCTGCTTTGATGTGCCCCTTTTCAACCCTTGTTCTTCCGCGACGATTGTTATCAAAGATCGCCTTTCTGGTCAAAGCTGCGTTGGTTCGTAGACAAAGTATACAATGAAGAAATGAGACTAGTTCATATGCACAGCGATATCCAGAGAAGGCGACTAGTCAAGCAGTTTCCCGCTTGCACTATCAGCATGCCGATTGCAAGCTTTGGATTAGGGGGCCGCGTGCTACCGGTGCTGATTTGTTGGCTACGAGTAATTATTTGTTCATAATTAGGGCCTCCTGTGGTAGCGAATAAGGAGATCCAAACTTGAAGTAGCTGT